GAGTGGGGGCGGGGGTGGGGAAAATTTCGTGTGAGTCGCTCACCTACTCGAGCTCAGGTATGCTGGGCCGTGATTTCCCGGCTTCAGGTCTGTAATCTTACATAACGTAATTCGGGGTTGCAATGTTCACCTGGGAAAGTCAGTGGAGAATGTGGACGAAAAGTGGACTGGGAAAGACAGGGGTCTACAGTTTCCGACTTTCATTCAGCTGTTCAAGAAGCCCTAACTCTAAGGCTTCTGTAGTCCCTATAATTGAAAGTGCGGTCATCCTGATACGCAGCATTCTCTGTAAATATTACTAGGTTGAAACATAACGCCACAATAACAAACACTTGGAACGCATGCGACGCCTTTCAAAAAAAAAGGAGGAAAAAAAAAGAAAAAGAACTTAATTGGCGGGTACTCTGGGGTCTTGTGGGGTCTTGTGGGGGTCTGGGGCATGAAGGTCGGGGAATTGGGGGAGAACAATATCCCGCAGAAAAATTTTTTTTTCTTGGGAAAACAAGCCCTTATATAGAGGGCAATAGGGTCGGTCTTGTCGACCCTTCTTTCTTTTTTTCCATTCTAATTTCAGCCTTCTTACATGAATGCTTCAACTCAAAAATGATCGACCATGTTGATAAGCCCAACGCGATGGGCAAAGAGTTCATCGATGACGAACTCACGCCCGAGGAGCGTCAGCACGAGATCGAGGTACGCGACCTGCAGAGCCAGCAGGATTTTAGCAACGAAACACTTTTCGACCGGATATTGTGCGCGCAGATACCCATTCACATGAAGAGCCCGCGCATGCTAGTCATCACATTGGGCGTGTTCGCAGCGTTTAGCGGCATGCTGAGTGGATTAGACCAGTCTGTCATCTCGGGTGCGCTGCCTGGTATCCGCAAGCACTTCATTGCGGCTGGCGAGTGGTCCGGCATGGACGACCCGAAACTGGCGACCGACGTTTCGCTAATCTCCTCCCTGATGCCACTCGGCGCAATGGCCGGTGCGCTCATCATGACCCCACTGAATTTCTATTTTGGACGCCGCAACTCTATCATCATCTCGTGTGTATGGTACACACTCGGAGGAGGAATTTGTGCGGGCTCCCGCAGTGTGGGAATGCTGTTTGCAGGCCGATTCATCCTCGGCATCGGCATCGGCATCGAAGGCGGCTGTGTCGGTATCTATATCTCGGAGTGTGTGCCGCCAGCCGTGCGCGGTAACCTGGTCTCCGTGTACCAGCTGATGATCGCATTCGGAGAGATCATCGGATACGCGGCGGGTGGTGTATTCTTCGACCTCAAGTCAGGCAGCTGGCGCTGGATGCTGGGTTCATCCCTCTTGTTTTCAACCATCCTGCTGGTCGGTATGTGCTTCCTGCCCGAATCACCGCGTTGGCTGGTATCCAAGGGCAAGTACGGGCGCGCGTGGGTGGTATGGAAGTCGCTGCGCGATATGGCGGACCCGAAAAGCTTGGACGAGTACGTCGCGATGGAACTCACGGTCAAACATGATGTCGAGCAGACCGCGGGCGAGCTATGGTACCAGAGATACCTGGAAGTATGCCGAAAGCCGCGCAACCGACGGGCACTTGTCTACGCCACAGCGATGATCTTTTTCGGACAGATGACGGGCATCAATGCCATCATGTACAACATGTCGAACTTGATGGCCAAGATGAATTTCAACGACCGTGAGGCGGTGCTGATGTCGATGGTGGGCGGTGGTGCGCTGTTCTTGGGAACGGTTCCTGCCGTGTTCACGATGGATAAGTTCGGTCGACGCGTCTGGGCCCAAAACATCCTGATGTTCATCGTGGGCCTGGTGCTGGTCGGCGTCGGTTATCTATACACAAACAGCGGTGTCGATTACTTCAATGAGCACAAAGCAACTGCCTTGGGTTTGTTTTTCTCCGGCCTGGTGCTGTACATGGCGTTCTTCGGAGCGTATTCGTGCCTCACCTGGGTCGTCCCAGCCGAGAGCTTTGATTTCAACACCCGCAGCCAGGGAATGGCGATTTGCTCTGCATTCCTGTATCTGTGGTCATTCATTGTGACATACAATTTCGAGGGGATGCAGAAGGCCATGACTTACACCGGCCTGACGATCGGTTTCTTCGGCGGACTGGCCGCCGTAGGCTTCTTTTATCAGTTGTTCTTCATGCCCGAGACGAAGGACAAGACGCTGGAGGAGATCGACGAGCTGTTTTTGATGCCGACGAGCAAGCTCGTTGCGCTGAACACGAGCAATCTGATCAAGAGCTGGCGTTGGGTGCTGGGTGGCAAGGGCAACCAGGAGCAGATCACCACCCAAAATCCTTGAGACTGGTTCTTTCCACCAGACCAACGTTCTTACCAAGAGCGATAAATCTACTCATGTTGAACGTAATGAAAGCAGACTAATTTACTGCCTGTCGTGTACTGAATCATAAATCTTGGGCCACAACTAGGGGAGAGAGCGGAAGATGAATCTTAATCAATCCAGACCAGGGGTATTTATGCCCTGGACAACCATCTCAAACGCCCAGTCTGCTGGCAAATAGCCACTTGCGGGAAGGTCCACGATCTTCCCTAGACTGGGTATACAAAAAAATGCGCCAAAATTCTTTGTAGTTAATAGTTTACTTCGTGAAAACCATCAAAATACGATTTCAAAGTGTGATGTCTCGTCAACTTGTAACATTCACTTCCTAAGATTGTCTTACGTATCATGTCAAATTGCAATTATTAGCTTGATCAATGATTGGTCCCTCTCAATCTTTCCAATTTGACGTTTAGTAGAGCCTCGGGAGCATCTAAAGGGGATTCTTTAGAATTAACGAGCGAAACATCGATTTGGTTGCTCTTCATTCTATTATTTATGAAATCACATTGTAAGTCGTACCGTTTCATTCCTTTGTTTTGCAAGTCTTGTGGTGAAACTGTCGTTCAATTAACACTGGCAGTGTATACTAGTACAAGAAATCCCACAGAGAACCTCTCTATATACCACCATGGTGAATGACCTCTCTGAACATTTGTTTCGTCGTCTTCTTCATTTAGATTGCAATCTCTACCGGGATAGATGTGCCCGCTTTGGTTATTGACACAAATAAATCCACAACTGGGGAAATTCACAGAGAATCATGCCCTGGCTAATGGACTTTCTGAGCCGGTGTCTGGTGATTGGACAGGCGAAAATTTGAATTAAGCAGAGATGAGCCGTACTGGCGACAAACACCAAAGATTGAAAAGGCCTTTCTCCAGTCCTGAAGCTCCTTCCCTTTCAATTGTCTATTTCATTAACGCAAGTGATGCTGCAGCTCATTCTACCCACTTCCAAATTATTGATCACGAGCTAGATCGTTTGAATCCAGCTGAGCTTCCCAGTTTTTTCTGGCTAAGATCAGGCGATAGGTATCCAATATCCATCAGATACCTCACACTGCGATCCAATGCAGCAATCGTTTCTTCCGGGTTGAAGTAGCGGTTTTCAGGGATACTATCTTTGTCGTACTCAAACTGCCAAGTGTTCTCCTCGAACCAACTCAAAATAGGCATGAACGGATGATCAAAATTGGCTTCTTCAACATCTTTTCTGAGCTTCTCCATCCACTCGTGATGGTTCATCTTCTTGATGGGGATCTTCGTGTGCTTGCTGAGAACATTACAGAATGTTGAAACAGTCACGCTGTCCACACAGCTCAGATTTTCCGATTGATATGTTTCTGGCTGTAGGAAAACATCAGTGATGAGACTGGACACCTGATCAACACCCGCCACAGTCAAGTACTGCAGATTTTGACTGACAGACTTCAGTCGAACCATGCTGAATGCCAACCGCCAGAGGAAATCCTCTGTATGTGCAATGCCCTCCTTTTGGGTCCCCACAATAAACCCAGGTATCACTGTGCGGGCCCTCGCGGCTTTGGATTGCGATTCATCCAAGTGGTCGTTATATTCGGCCAATAGCAACTGAGACATAAATTTCGTTTGCTCGTATCCCGATGCTTCAGAAAGTCGTTTGGCAATTTCCCTGTCGCTTTCTGGTTTCGTTGGCACATATCCACCAGAAATGTAGATCAACGGACACGGGAATTCCATCCTTGATAGCCCCGAGAGAATGTCGACAGTGCTGTGGATATTTACACGCTCGAGGTCTTCGTAGCTATCGATCCAGTTCACGCGGGCGCCGTTGTGAATGATTCCATCAATTCGTTTTGTTGAGTTTGTCGAGAACAATTGCTCCCATTGGGTATCCTGCAAGCCAAGCTTCGGTCTGCTTAGATCTCCTGTCCAGAATTCAATGCGATCTAGGTACTCGGCTTTCCACCACCGACCTAGCTCGGCATGCTGCTGCACTTTCGCTTGGGCCTGCTCTTCATCGTTGGCACGAACAAGTCCAATGACACATTCGATCTGTGGATGTTCCAAGAGCGATCTCAAAACCTGACTTCCGAGAAATCCGGTGATGGAAGTTAGGAAGACAGTTGCCTGACGACGTTTGACATCGGAGCGATACAGTTGGCCGCATATGAGTCCTTCTCTACAGCGATTATCCGAGTCAGTTCCTCGAGGAGGACCGAGCCTTGGTTTCAGCTTTGCAAGATCGTCCATCAGGTTTCTTGCATAGCTGGATTGCCTTTGAAAATCTTGGTTTGCAATCAGAAAATCTTCGATATTGCAAACGCTGAGGTTATTTCTCTGCAAGTCTTTGATGCTGATATTCGTCTTGTACTGTTTCCGCATCAAGTTCACAAACGTCACTAGTTGCATGGATGTGAAGCCAATTTTTGTCACGAAAAAATCCCTTCCTCGCAGAAACGATGCAAAGTCGCTGTCCTTGCTTTCAAACATATCTGCGATGAGGTTGCTGATTTCAATCGCCAGTTTGTTGCTTTCCGGGATTCTAGAGCAATCTTCAATTGAAGAGCCTCCTCTACGGTAGGCTTGGAGGTCTTTTTTGCCCATTTTTGATAGGCGACCACGAAGTTGTTGTCGATCAATCTTTTTGGAAAGCGTCAGTGGCATGGTTTCAATTAACAAAAACACGACTGGGATCATGTATGTGGGCAAGAAATCCTCCAACTGGTCAGCCAACTTAGCGGCCAGTTGATCTCCAGGGTGATCGGTTGTTTCGACAAATGCAACAATTTCTGCATCCTCAGAATTGATTTCAGACATAATGACAGCCGAACGGCCGGACTTGAGACATGAGTTGATCGCATTTTCAACCTCTCCCAGGTCCACTCGCAACCCTCTGATTTTGACGTATCCGGTTTGACGACCCAAAAGGATTACTTCGCCAAGCTCATTGAATTTGGCCAAATCACCAGTGCGGTATACCCGGGATCCATCCATATGGGGCATCAATGGAGCCCATTCCAGACTTGACGGGTCCAATAGTGCTTGTTTCTGGCGATCCGAATCCTTGAGATAGGCGATGGCGAGGTACGGGCTCTGAATAAGCAGTTCTCCCTCGGCGCCAAATGGCATCAATCTGTGCACATCCGACGGATCTGTGATCCAACATGCGGTATTCCCAATACCACGACCGATATTTTTGGGGTTATCGCCAGGCTTCATGCTTTTCTTCACTGTGTCCCATACACCAGCTTCGGTCGTGCCGTATAGATTATTCAGCTCGACTCGCTGTCCCCATGTCGATACAAGCTCTGCAGATGGAGGCTCGCCTCCAACACTGAGGCTGCGAAGACTGGTCAGATTCTGATGCAA